GGGGTCGGGAACAATGACACACTGACACTTGGGGGTCGGGAACAATGACACACTGACACTTGGGGTTCCAGAACAATGACACACTGACACTTGGGGGTCGGGAACAATGACACACTGACACTTGGGGGTCGGGAACAATGACACACTGACACTTGGGGGTCCCAGATCAATGACACACTGACACTTGGGGTCGGGAACAATGACACACTGACACTTGGGGTCGGGAACAATGACACACTGACACTTGGGGGTCGGGAACAATGACACACTGACACTTGGGGTTCCAGAACAATGACACACTGACACTTGGGGGTTGGGAACAATGACGCACTGACACTTGGGGTCGGGAACAATGACACAGTGACTCCCCCCGCCTCCAGTGTCCTCTGCGCCGCGGATCTGGCGTGGTGGTATTTTTGGAAGTGTTTGTTGTGTGCGTGGCTTGTTATCACACAGAGGAGCTCTGCACCATGGCGGAGGATTGCTGAGAACTTGGCGTGACAAGCCGGCCACGGTCAGCGGGAAGTGTTTGCTCAGCGGTCGGCAGCTAATGGTTACTAATACTTGTCACACAGAACAAAACAAACTGCTGTGTGTACAACCCAAACTACGAGCCGATCACAGGAGGAGAGGACCTTTCATCAGGAACATTGTGTGTAATATCGTGATCAGAGTCCTGGAACTGACTGACAGCTCTGCCTGGGGATGGGGGATGGACAGTCCGGCTGCCTCATCACTGCTTGGATGACCCATACTACCCATAGATGTGATGTCACTGCTGTATAATATATCTTATATCTGGAGGGCGGTGATGTCACTCCTGTATAATATATCTTATATATGGAGATCGGTGATGTCACTCCTGTATAATATATCTGGAGGGCGGTGATGTCACTCCTGTATAATACATCTTGTATATGGAGAGCGGTGATGTCACTCCTGTATAATATAACTCAATCGTTGATGTAGAAGTCTCTCTCACGGTCGTATTTCATATCATTTCCTTTTTCTCTGGGAGTATAGGACCTTTCATTATGTGATCGTCGCTTTGCTTTGGCTGTAATGACAGGACTGCGAGCTCCTCGATTTGCGGCGCCAATCATTTGACGATGTTCGGGACAGCGCCTGACTTTTTTTGGTGCGCGTCGAGGAGCCTTATCTGAGGCCCTGGATGAAATAATGACGGCAGGAAGTGTCAGAACTTGTTAATAGGGAATTCCGAACACTCCTTCGTGTTGATGGAAAGATGGAAAGATTCCGGCTGATCCAGTCACCAACAAAAATAGTCATTTAAATAACAATATTAAAAAACAAAAACCGGGGTCACCGCGGCTCATCCTGGAGGCGTGACGCGTTCTACAAAGGTTTCTGGGTGAATTTAACGGCACGAGAAGGTTTTACGACTGGAAAAACCGGCCGCCGTATCTGTTTGCGTGTCGCGGCACGCATGGTACCAGCCGTCGCTGCCAAGTCGGCCTCGTGAGAGAAAAGGAGAACTTTTTGTTTTTGTGTTTTTGGATCTCTGTTGGGATTGAGCAGAGTTACAACATTGGAAAATAGCTGCAAATTTTGGCAACATTTTTTCCATCTCGGCAGGAATTTTTGGAAGGAATTTTTGGAATTCCTGGAATGCCTACTCAAGATAAATCCTATTTTTCGGAAGTTACTTTGCAAATGATGAAGGTGCCTAATGTTGGCATTATTGTGCGTAGCAAGCTTACCATTTGGTGAGCTCATAGTTGACCGAAAGCCAAATGTTTGCATTTTCCAACAACGTTGGGCTGTGAAAGTCTTTTTAGCAACGTACAATAGCGCTCATCAGAAGTTTATGTTATTGCACACAAAGGTTTCCCAGCTCGTCGGCTCTGCACAAGTGTGCGCCATTGGTTGACATGACTGAGTAGCAAATACTAATACCGCTAATGGGCCTCATGACCCATCGAGAACAGGTTATGATGGGTTCTGATGGACCCAAGACAGGTTTGAGAAAGGACAAGTCCTGCTATTAATACCACTAATGGGCATCATTGACCCATGGAGAGCACATTATGGTGGGTTCAGATGGACCTGAGACAAGACAAGTCCTGCTATTAATACCACTAATGGGCATCATTGACCCATGGAGAGCACATTATGGTGGGTTCTGATAGACCTGAGACAAGACAAGTCCTGCTGTTAATACCACTAATGGGCATCATTGACCCACGGAGAGTGCATTGTTGTGGGTTCTGATGGACCTGACACAGGTTTCAGAAAGGGCAGGTCCTGCTATTAATACCACTGATGGGCCTTATTGTCCCATCAAGAGCACATTATGGCAAGTTTTGATGAACCTGAAACACATTTGAGAAAGAACAAGTCCTGTTATAATACCACTAATGGAACTCATTGACCTATCAAGAACATGTTATGGTGGGTGTCGATGGACCTGAGAGAGGTTTGAGAAAGGGCAAGTCCTGCTATAATACCACTAATGGGCCTCACTGACCCATGGAGAGCGCATTATGGTTGGTTCCGATGGACCTGAGACAGGTTTAAGGAATAGTAAGTCCTGTTTTAATCCCACTAATGGGCCTCACTGACCCACGGAGAGCACTTTAC